TTTTTTTTTTACTTTACCTAGATTTAGTATAACAATGTATGTTATTCAATTTTTACTATTTCTCTTTTTTCTTACACCAATTAATACAGCAATTCAACGTTTAACACCAATATCATTAAATGAACAAAGTTCAATTGGTACATCTATATATGATTTAAGTCGTGTTTATTCATCATCATCAAATTTATATAAATTTTCTTTTTTATCTGATTCAAGTCCACATAATTCATTTTTTATAATTGATTCTTTAACAGGACGTATTTCTATAAAACGTATGATTGATCGTGAAGAATTATGTCAAACACATATATGTAATTGTGAACGTTGTATATTAACATTAGAAATAATAGCATCATCACAAACAATTGATATATTATCATTAGATATAACAATTATAAATATAAATGATAATCAACCAATGTTTCCTGTATCAACATTTCATATTCGATTATCAGAAAATAGTGATATTGGTTATATATCATCATTTCCATCAGCAACTGATCTTGATTATCAAGATCATGTTGAATATCGTATTGTATCATATGATGAATTAAATGATCAAGAACTTTTTGAAACATTTTCTATTGTTAATTTACATACAAAAAATCAACTTGGTTTACGCTTATTAAAATCTCTTGATCGTGAAAAACGTAATTTATATAAAATGAAAGTTTTAGCTAGTGATAGTGAACTTACAGGACAATTACTACTTGATATTCATATATTGGATTCAAATGATAATGTACCAAAATTTGAACATGAACAATATTATATTAAATTACAAGAAAATACTCCTATTAATACAGATATTCTTCATATACATGCTTATGATAATGATGAAGGTTTAAATTCTTTAATTAATTATACAATTATAACAAATAATCCATTATCATTATTTCCATTTGAAATAAATACAACAACGGGTATTATTAAATTAATACATTTATTAGATTATGAACAAGAAACAAATTATCGTTTTAATGTTCGTGCTTGTGATAATGGACCTGATGCAATTAATGTTTATACACAAGTTCAAATTGATATACTTGATGTTAATGATTGTCCACC